ATAAGTGCAATAAAAAGTATATACAAAATAACTACACTTTTGCACTTATCAAACTCTGCCCAACTTGAATCATTGTTTGTCCTCAAACAAAATCAAATAACCCAAAGAATAAAGAATGATAAATCAAAGAATCACGAATCAACAAGTTTTGAAAACAGAAAATAAATGCAATGGTTCAAATGAAAACAGTACACACAAAGTAAACACTTTCCACTAAACTACAACTATAACATAAATACGAAACAAATGCTAAATACAAAAATTATGCCAAACATTCTAAAACAATACTAGTTCACAAATGGATCACACCTAGCAAACACAATCATCAATAGATGACAAACACACAAAAATAGGGTATTTTCACTTATCCAAAATATTGCAAACAATAGACTAAATTATGTATTCATCTAAAAATTTATATTGAAAATATAAAAGCAAGAATCTCAAGAGATTTTCAAGGTTGTAATGGGGTCGGGTAAACAAACAAGTGATAAGTCCTAAAGCTAATCGAAACAAAAACTTGCCTAAACCTAAGGGAGTAATTAATTCCATAAAGTTTCAAACAATAGAATTTCAATCAAACTTCTTCTTCATCCCAAATTTCAAACCAACACACGTCACTTATTCAACACAATATTATTCCATACTCTTTTTGTTTTTCTTTTTCAAAGCTTTTTCAATTTTTTCTTTCTTTTTCTATCACTTCTTTTTCACATCTTTTCTTTTCTTTCTTTTCTTTTTCTTTTTCTTTCATGACCTCATAACAATAAATCAATAAATACACAATCATTTTTCTCCCCCCAACTTGAATTCAGCCATACATTAAAGTGAATACTCCCTACTTTCTAAGGCAAGGTAAAAATTCAAACGGTTGAGGGGTCAAGAAAATAACGAATCAACATTCATGCAAAAAGGAAAATTAAACACTCATAGACAAACATTTAGCTAATACAACATGGATATTGACAAAAAGCTCAAAGGGGGTACTAATGATCACACACTCACAAGGTGAATTGACTATTTGACTAGGTAGTTGTGCTCAAAATGAAACAAAAATTATTTGATCCTTTTCTTGCATTCATACAATCAACACAGACAAAATATTAAGCATAATAAAATTTAGTTAAAACAAGAATTGTGGCCTCCAGAATATATGAACAATGGAAAGCTACCTCACAAAAGGGTGGGAACTAAAGTGATTCATAAATGAACAAGTATACAAAAAATGAATGGCATAAAACTGTAAAAAGTCTAAGTATCATGAATCTGCTAAAGTATAGAAAACGATAAACACACACCTCAAACATATACAAAACTTTTACAAAATCATTATCACGTATTCACAAGTCGAAATGATCAAACTTGACAAATCACCTCAATATTCTACAAGTTACCAGACCAAAACTTGAGTCCAAACAACAACAAAAGAATTAGAAAAATAATACTCCTACAAAATTTTAATGTACAAAATTTACAATATATACAACGAATAAAACTCCTCAAGCTAAACACGGCAAGCTTTCGAAAAACACAAATTGAAATTACAAAACAAATACAAATAACGATATGATAACATGGTGAAAATGAATTAACAAGTTGAAAAGTGAAGATTTAAAATTTAAAAACTAATCCGAGTTCAACTTGTTAAACATAAATCACCACACACATAAAAAAATACAAACCAACATGCTTGTTTTACGTCGTAAGCTTGACGCCTTTATTGTGCGGGTTAGTAACCTCCTCTAGTCATGCCATGGTATTGTCACACCGCGCAAACCTAAAGAAAGTGTCCTAACAATCACACACCAAATATTACTAAAACGAGACAATTCACAACAATACGTGAAAACACACATATGCAAAAATATCATATACAAGTTAATGTACAATTTCTATATAACATATACATTAATTACAAAACTAAAAAAACAAAAGAGTTATCGCAATGCGAAAACAATAGAACCAATCCCCAACAATGGTGCCATTTTGTTGCAGCGGTACAGCGGCAAGCAAAAAGTAAGTTATTAATTTACCGGGTGATATAAGTTATATTGTATCATGTCCACAGAGATTGGTTATTGAATTGTCGTTCAACAATTCTCTCGTTAATGAGTTTGGGATATAATGGTTTTGTATGTAAGGTGTTGAAATTTAAAGTTATACACAAGAAGTATTTAATCATTCGAATAGGATAGAATTCTCGAATTTGTATTTCGTCTACCCCATCAAATATTTAAACTTACTACCTAGTTGTACTTAACCTTAACTACTTGTTAATATCATCACGTCGCTCACACATAGGTCATTTCTAACACAGAGCGAGATATCAACCGTGTCGCTTCGTGTCGACGATCTCTCAGCACAACATAAAACAACACAGAAGCATTAAGAGTCGATACCTAAGTGATTACTAAGCCTAAATCTATCTCTAGAATCTAAGCCCAATAGATATTCATCCTAAATCTGGATTCAATCCGTCCATCTCTGCAACGACTCAAACCCAGACACTTAGCAAGCTAACAAGAATAAACATCAATAAAGATTTGTAAAGAAAGTTTCATACAACACCATGAGCAATAAATATGCATATAATCAAGGTAAAGTTACATACAAAATCCAATAAATAATGGTTACAAAGAGAGGAAGAAAAAAAGAAATCATATTTCCCGCGGTGTCAAACATGATCCATCAAGCTCACGACCCCGAATCATCCATTTGCAAGCCACAAATATTGTTGTCTAAGAGCTAACTATAAAAAATGAAGGTGATGGGATTTGGGAATAAATACCCCAAAAACCATCCACCCCAAAATGAAACAAAATGAAAGTATAAAGAAATTTTGTTCCGCGAGAATCACCCAACGACATAAAAGCGTCGCCTGACGACGTCTCTTATTCACTTGACCCAGGATAAGCCATGTCCTCTACTGAAATAATTATCTAACTTCGCTCGGTGATACAATGCTTTACCCAACGACGATCTTTATTTTCGCCTGGCGACTTAGACGAGAAGCAAGGCAGAGACAACATCAAAATTGACTCTTCTCGTCCACTGTCGCCCGATGACACATGACAGTCCTGCAACTTTTGTTGCTTTCCTGCATAACTTCCTCTGGCTCCAATCTTCGCCCTATTCATTTATTGATCCAAAAATGCATCTTGGAGTTTTATTCCTCTTGCTCCAACAATGCTCAAATACCTACAAAACATATACAAAACTAATCAACCGATACAATATGTATTCAAAATGCAACTAAACATATTTATACACAAAGTTGGATTATTCAACCGAAATTACAAACAAAGAGTCGATAAGTGCAACAAAAAGTATATACAAAATAACTACACTTTTGCACTTATCAAGATGCATCTCTGGAATTTCCTGCAACTATAACCATTGTCATTGGTGAAATGCAGCCCCCAAAATCATTAAAAAAATGCATTGGTCATAAAAAATATCTTTCTAACTTGTTTCTAATCAGGTATAAGCTATCAAACATGTAAAATCTTTCTATTTCATAGCCTAAACATCAACTTCTACACATTTATACAAAAGCTTAATAAAGTTTATAAAAAAATTATAATTAATATCTTGAAGTTGGATGTTTGAAGTTGATTGATGTTGTTTGATGTTGCTTGAATTTGGTTTGATAGATTTTGATAAAATGAGTTTTTTGAGAGTGTTTGAGTAAGTTAGAAAGGTGAAAGGCTTTTGACACGTATTTGAACGAAAAACATTCGGAGATGCATCTACGTAGGCTTTACGAAGATGTATCTCCAGAATAATTTCACATGGAGTTTGAGCCTGATTCAGATTTGCACTGGTTTTTGGTGCGCCCGGAGATGCATCTACGTAATGTATACGTAGATGTATCTCCGGTTAATTTTTTCCCATTAATTTTAAAGTGTGTTGAATTTTAGTGCGTTTAAAAATATATCTCCGAAACTTTGGATATAATTGTATTTTCACGCAGTGTCCTAATAATGTATAAGTTGCATTAAGAAATTCTCAAAAAATTATCATTATTTCTTTTCTTTTTAAAATTATCATTATTTTTCTGCAAATTCTATTTCAACTGTCAGAAATCAATATTATTAAGTTGAATGTTATCATCAGAGTTCAAACTCTAATACTCACGGATGTGTGTGAATTTTTAGTATTTATTACCATTTCGTTTCCTAATCCAAAACTGTTTTATTTTAATTTGAAAATATTGAATTGTTAATTCTCATTTTTTTAATTAATTTTTTAATATTTTACTAATTGCTATTTCTTTTATAAAAAAATTACTTTTAAATTTATTATCATTTTTTATAAATACTATCCCAAATATTTATTCTATCATTATTTCTTTTTTAATTTATTATTACACAAAATATAAGGAATTAACTAGTAATCCGAATAGAAGTGGAAAAAAAAGTTATTCCTATCTTACTTATTTATATACACGGTAATGTGATTATATAATTTTCAATCCTCTATTTTATTTATAACTTTTTATTGATTTTTTACTCTCTATTTAACAATAAAAAAATTACTTATTTATTTTTGTTATTTTGTATTGATTTCCAAATTTTTATTTGAAGAAATCAACTATTATTTTAATGAAAATAACTTTTACTATACTATATATCATGCATGCCAATGAGATTATAAATTTTTTATAGTTTTCAATCCTTTATTTTTTTTATAATTTATTATGAAATGGTTAATTGCTCAAATATATTGTGTTGAAAATGGGATAAGTCATACAATATTTATTGCTCAAATATCAGTTATTATCATTAAAGGAAGTACCAAATCAAACATGCATTTGCAAAATGAAACTAAGCCATGAATCTTATTCATTCATGCATCCATTTTTAGCATAATGTTAAAAAGAAAGAATGAATAGATACATACATGTGAAACTTAATTCATGTTCTTATAAGATTATAAGTTTACTCATAACACTCTAAATTGTAGTCTCTTGTGAGCCAGAGTAAACATGGAATCCGTGTTTATTTGCTTTCGCTCGTAAACAAACAGCAACAATACTGCATGAAGTTATGAACACATTCATGAAATTAGTAGTGAAACACATACATAGAAAATTTATGGACAAAACAATAAACATGAAATTGTAAGCATCATTCACCTTAGATAAACTGAAAGAAGATCCATCGTATTGATTCTTCGTATTTGAACCGTTGTTTTGTGGTGGAATCCTCTGGCTAGAGATGACTTGTCTTTCTTCTTTTATTTTGTTGAACATAACAGTATAACCTTCTCCTGATTTCGGGTCTGTTACATCCCAATTACCGAATTCAGGTACTGTTGTTGCTCTATCGTCCTGTCAAGTCAAATGTTTTTAATAATCTAATGATTAAATCGTAAACACTATAAGATACTAGAAGGAATATTACCCTGTGGTTGTTAAAAGAGTCTCTTCCATTTCTGTGTCTACTATGATTTGATGAAGAGAAGCTACCAATGTTACTACTAACTCCTTTGGACACACTCCTTTTGTGAACTGATTGTGAACCTTTGCTGATGGCAGAGTGATCAATACAGAGATTTTTGCTGTCAAATTCTGATGCAAAGCTACCTTTACTTCCCCTGCTTCGTCCGTGTGAATGGCGTATAGAATTGTTTTTTAGTACTTCATGGCTTCCTTTTCCCATTGAACTTGAATTTGCTTTGTGGGAGTAAGTATGGGAGGATTTTGCTTCATCGGCATTGACATTTTTGTTGAAGGCCTTTAGATTTTCCATTGGATCGTTCGGATTGGTCATGAATCCGGCCTTTTCTCTGCGTGCACTCTCAAAACATGCACTATATGGAATGTTGTCAGCTTCCCAATTGCCAAACTTTGGAACGTGAGCATTCTGCTAACAACGAGTTATTGGCGAAGATTTGTCAAACACAATTTGAAATAAACATGTAAATAAGTTTACTAAGCTCTCTAGAATAACTTATTAGCGAAAACGGCTCTTAAGTAAATAGCTAAATTAATGCACGAGAACACAATAGTTGATCATAGAGTTCGGACAATTGTGCCGAGGGAGCTTGGCCCCAAAGAAAGTGATTGTAGGAAGATAAATCCAACTTGACACAAATAGGAGATGATTGTATTTGTAGACATCAACAAAGAAAACAAAATAGTTACTTGAGTAAAACCAAATTCTATGTTTGATTCGTTGTTGTAAGAAGTATGTGTGTGTGTGTGAAAACTTACCGCCATCGTTACTAGAATAGTTTCTTATGGTACAGAATCCAGGATACAAGGATCTTTGGCCTCTCTTTGTGCTCCTGATGTTAGTTGTCGGCTTAAGATATTACTCTATATGGTTTGAGAGTTTCTGCTAGAACATGGCTTAGAAAAAATTGATCGATAGTTACAAAGCTCGTTGAACGCCAAACACGCTTTCTTCCAGTTTGCATTTTAGAAAGGCAAGAGAAGGAATATGTAACTGTCATGATTTGTGAGTTTTGTTCTGTTCTCTGCAACAAATTCTCCTTGTTAAGGATCTTATATTTTGTAAAAAATTAAGATGCTCTCTATTGGCTCCATCTGGAAATAGTTTTTTAATAAATTTATTATGTTCAATCTTTCATCCCTTGTATTGGATCATATTGGCAATAAAACATAATCTCTACACTTTTTCCAACACTATATGTTGTTTTTTTCTTATTGACTAAAATTTAGTAGATCCTATGGGATCAGTGATTATTCTCTATGTCGCTCAACCCATCTGATTTGATCATATCAGATCACTGATCATTCTTAAAAATAAGTACTAGTACTAGTATTAGTAACACATGATTTTCGATAATACTTTCAGCGAGATATATGTGAATTTCAACCAAAAACGTAAGGAATTTAAAAAGACAGTAGTATAATATAATTTTTACTTATCACTTCTCTTACATTTATACGTCATTTATATTTTACACGAAAAACATTTATATTTACCATAATAATTTAACAAACATGCATACAAATGCAAGGATAATTAACCTATTTTTGTAACATTTGAAAAGCACTACACTGACAAGATCGGAAACTTGTTTGTAGAGATTTCAGCCCTATACATAGCAGCAACCGCTTGCTGTTGCCGTTTCTTCACTTTGACGTGCCTGTCTTCCGTGTCACTTGATATGGATATTCCCCACTGAGGACCGAGTAGAAGGCAATGCGGACACATTTACAACACTCTCAACACTATGCGTAGCAGCAAACACACATCCTTTACATTCTGTATGTCATAACCTTATCTATGAAATTCAAACGAAAAGATGACGATTCAAAAGATGCACTCCACATCGCACAAGGTAGAAAGAGGACGCTGCAGTTCCATTTATGTCTCTAAATACCAACCGTCTTGTTAAGTAGCCAAAGGCAAAGAGCCAATTGAATACCGAAAATGGAGTGAAGCCAAGTTCTGTCAAGCATGAATCCATAAACAGTGATTCCTGCTCGATTGTTCTCCATATATGTCACTGCATTAAAAAGCAAGTAACTAAGGATATAGCAAAATTTGACGAAAACCAAATACAAGTAAAAAAATTCTATATACCTAAAGCCTGTCTTTTATTGAATGAGATAGTATGTGTCTGAATCGGCATTAATTTGGTGTCATTCAACTCATCCTCTTCATCTCCCAACTCATCATCATCCGACGATCCCCAATTAATACTAGCAGCCATAGCCTGTGTTGAAGTTGCCTCTGCTGATGGTGTCTCACCGTCAATGTTGTCAAAGGAGTTTATGGTGGCACATATATGCCACTTAGCGGCAAGTCCTGTGATGGATTGTGCTTTATGCGTGATCTTGGTCGCGCTTCTTAAGAGTATGTAAAGTCCACTAACCAATGTGATGGAGACTAACTGCAACATTGAAAGTACACAACATTTAAGTACTTGAAACTGTAAGGTGCAGTCAGTTTAATCTTCAAAATTTACGAAATACTGATTAAGTTCCTGTAATTGAACAATGTCAATGAATTTAATCCACTAAATGAAGGAAAGAAGCATTACCCCGAGTTCTCCACTCTTGAGGATATCAACATCAGCGTGTGGTTTTATAACCATCAGAAGAAAAATAAGTTGGCTTGCTGTCACCAAAAGGAGAGAAGACAAAATGAAAGCTCGAAAACGGTGGCTAATGACGCGTAGATTCCTTCGTATTCTTAGGTGCTCCATCAAGATCGATCCTACCTCAGTTTCTCTTTGAAAAACAGGAGCAAATTCATCTAGTCTTTGTATTTGCAGGTAGCCAATGAGTCGAAAGAGGACACATACCAAGAAGAAAATCGATGTTCTATAAAGCCAAGAACATAGCTCCAATGTGCACATAATGATGCTGCTAACATATATTTCACCATAATATGGTATTTGGGATGATCCTGAAATGTACCACCACATCTTGTAGGCACATTCAGCTATGAAACAGGGAAATCCCCAAAGCAAGATGAGCTTCATTGTTCTCTGAATAATAGAAACAAATGTATCTTGTTATGTTTTTCTATTTCAGATAAAAGGCGTAGCTTTTTCAATGATGTAACTTAAAATTATATAATTGAATATTGACCATGTAATTAGTGTTACAATTCACAACAATAAGAGAATGGAAAGAAAACACATCAGAACTACAGTTGCGAAAAATCAATATTGTTCTCTCGTTTTCAAGGCGGATTTTGCAGCTCAATTCTTAGTTCCTGGCTCATATGAGTCATAACTCTCGAAATTGGATGGTCTTTAGTCGAAAAATCTCACTCATTCGGTGCATTGGTGACTGTTGTATCAAGATTGGATGATTTATATTTCAAGTTCAGTATTAAAACTATAATACCAAAATTGAAATCTACACTGTCCTATCTCGATCCAACTACCACCAATGCCTCAGATCGGTGATGGCACATAATCCAAATTCACAAATCTCCTACATAAGTTCCTCATCTCTCATTCTTTTTCTGGTCAACCTTACACCTCGAATCGCCAGGCATTAAATACGAAGACTCCACGGTAGAGATTTAAATTCAGTTTGGTCACTTTGCGGAGAATAATCCACTTCGTCAGACCCATTTTTCTCTCCTAAGCAGAATAATCAAATAAACCAAATTCCATAGTCTATTATTTTTCTTTTCTTTTCAACTTTGTAAAGAAACGTTTCATCTGATGTCTCTGTATAACTACCAACTGAAATGCCTTTCCAACATTTTCTATAAATATTCATCAAATAAAAAGACAAGAATAAAAACAAACACAAAGCACCCATGACAAAATTCATTCTTCATCTAATTTGTTTCCACACACACAACAACAAAAAAAACACAAACCTTCATCTGTTGAGCATACCCACGTTGAATCTTGAGACTTTCATCGGCAACTTTATCAAGAAAAAGAAACCTACTAAACCCATATTTACGATCCCATTGAGAGAGGTTAACAAAAGACAAGGTAGCAAAAGCAGACAAAGAAATCTGAACAGGAACATGGTACGGTCGAGCATGATCAGCATCGCAGGTTGTCGAACAATCAAGAAGAAAGTGAGATAGAATAGGTACAACGTAAGCCAATGTAAAAAACAAAGTCCAAGATAAACCAGCTTTGCATATATTTGATTGGTCCACGTAAACCCATCTTAGATATGCTCTGAATTTTCTCAATTCTGCTTCATCTTGATATAATCCAGAATTCTCCTTGTTCCCTGCCACAAAAATATTCTCTCTTTCTTCTTCCATGACCTTCAAAATTTTGAGTGTCACAATTTCAATGTGTCACAATTTTGAATATGTCACAATTTTGCCTGTGATGTTGTTGTGGATGCATTCAAATATCAGTTTTTGGGATCTAGATGTGAATGTCGTCGCTGTTTCTTGTGAGTTTAAAATCTTTGCAGCAATTTTTTTTTTATAGTTCTTTGATGAGGATTGATGGTTGCCATGACACGACAACCATTTTCATAATGTTTGTTGGTACTTTTTTTTATTTGTTTGATTTTATGAAGAAAATGTTACTAGTGTACTTGATTTATGTTTAACTTTCTTTCATAAAAAATTTAGGTTCAATTTTAGTAAATCAATATTATTATGTTTGTTAGATTTTTACTTTGAGTTTAATTACTAGGTATTGTTATAGAAAAAATTTACTATTGCATAACCTACTCGATTATAATTTGTGGTTGAGAAGATTTAGACTTTGACTCTGATCTAGATAGATTTTTCTTATTCAAAGCGTTTTATTGATATCTTTATTTATCTAGTGCTGTTTGATTTGGCGTTGCAAGGGAAGGTTAAGAAAGATTTTCGGTGTCTTTTTTGGCTAGCACTATTAGTTTGATTCAGAATGATATTTTGTTTAATGGAGGAAATAAAAGGAGTGTAGATATTATTAGTTTGACAAAATCCTTAGTATGGAATTTACTAAGGAAAAAACTGATATAAGAATATAGTATTGTTTTTTTTCAATTAAAACTGATAATATTAAGGAAAAAAAAAAAAAGAGAAGAACTAAACCAAAACCTCTTAATAACATAGTTTTAATTTAAGAATATCAATCTTATCTAACAAGTAATTCAATAAAATATTATTTTGAACAATATTATACTAAAAATATTATTTTCTTTTTCGCCCAAAATACTTACAAATATTTATTTTATAGAAAAAAATAAATTTGGAGTATTTTAAACATTACCTCTCATCTTAAAAAAAAAAACTCATTTTTCAATTATCATTGTGACTGTAATTTTAATTAATTTCCAGTGTTTAATCAAAGTTTGCCATGTTCACAATAATTGTTACTATTAAGAAATGAAATCCACTCATCTGGACTAGGACAACTCAAAAGCAACCTGCTTCCATGTTCATCTGCTTTTTTGTCCATAAAACTTTTCAAGTCTAGGTTGAATTGACTATTTTTTTATTGATTGAATTGACTAAACGAAGACAAATAAAAAAGAGAATATTTTGAAAATAAAAATGAACGAATTCTAACAGAAATTGAAATACGACGATTTTTCATCAAAATATACATCCATTTTCTATTATAAATATTAATTTATTTAATTTATTAATTAAACAATATATTTATAGAGGTCAACTACATTATTTATTTAATAAATTTTTTATAAAAATTACTTAGAGCTGGAGATTTCCCAGGTTTTGGTCGGTAAATCAAATCTATGGCCAATGGACAACTCACTACAAGTCATAATAATAATAATGTAGATTTTTTTTTCCA